AAAAAAAAAAAAAAAAGGAGTTTACCATCATTAAGGAAGAAAAGGGCACAGTAGTTCTTTGACAAAAAAAAAAGTAACAAAGAAAGATGGAAATAGTTGAAACTGAATTCCAAGTAGTATGATACAGAATAAATTAATAAAACAAACAGCTAAATAAAAAACTGTATTCACCTCACTTAATTCTTCATCCAGGTTTTCACCAAGTGAATGACTAATAAAAAAGATCAATCCTCTCTCATGTTTCTGTGATTCATCCTCTGTTGCCCAATCCACACGGGTCAAAACTTCAGCCAGAGACAAACCAGACATCTTATAGTATGGCAAAGCGAGGTGGGAATTCTGAGTGTCAAGCCTAAAGGGAAGGAAACAAAACCCCTCACATTTGCGAATTTTATTTTATTTTTTTGTGGTGGAACCAGGGATTGAACTCAGGCCCTTGCACTTGCCAGGGAAGTACTTATTCCACTGAGCCATCTCCCCGGCACACAAAAAGATTTTTCTTTAATTTTTTAAAAAAATTTATTTATTTTTGTGGAACCAGAGATAAAACTCAGGCCCTTGCACTTACCTGGCAAGCGTTTACTCTACTGAGCCATCTTCCCAGCCACATTTGCAAATTTTAAGCCTGTATGCTTAACATAACCAATAATAAAACATTATGCTTTCCAAAGACATAAACCTCAAAATACTTTTGCAGTGCCATTAGTAACTGGAATAAACACCTAAAGTTTATTTTTAAGTCTTTCCAATGAATGTGGTTTCTTTTTGTATGTGTATATTAAACATAAAAAAATTAAGTCAATTTTAATATTCATGATATGACTCTAAATAAAGGTATTACAGGTGGATAAAGTCTGTTTTATTAAAGTGCAATCATTCACATGGATCCAGAGAGCCTCTGGATTTCAAGACTGCATTGTAGTCAAGAACGTACAGTGGGGGCCGGGGAGATGGCTCAGTGGAATAAACGCTTCTCCGGCAAGCACAAGGGCCTGAGTTCAATCCCTGGTTCCGCAAAAAAAATAAATAAATAAAAAGAATGTACAGTAAAATTACTGCATGCAGCAGTGTAGAAAAATTTTCCTTTTAAAAAGAATTACAAAACCAAAAAAATATATATATATAAAACCATAACTTTGTAAGTCAGTGGAAAGTGGCTTACAGAGAGAACTATGAGATGTGTTTATATCACATCTTACTCATTTTTTTAAATGTTCCTAATGCTTTGGTGTTGCTGTATTCATAGTTACATATTCCTTATTTATAGCTCCGATAGCTTTAATTTTCTAAGCAGGCTGTCTGACAGCTGTGCACATCTGTTGTGCCTGGTTGAAGAACAGTGGAGCCATCAGCAGGGATGTGCAATAGTTACGACTTTTTGACATTTCCATTATAAACTTTAATTTTGAATTGTTTATGCATAACAAGTGTGGATTTATGTTGTAGTAGGCTGAAAGCTGACAAGACTTCAGCCACGATTTGTGAATTTTGATTTAGATTTGTTATGTACATCAGAATCTTGCTTTTAAAATAAGGACATAGAGAATATTTCTTATAATCTGTTCTTTAACATAGAACGCTTAGTTTTTTAAAAGTTTTGGGCAATTAGTAGTGTTACCTAATCATCTTTGTATTGAGTAAAAAATAAAACGTCTAGAAACTTTAAAATTTTACAAGTACTGATAGTGCTTAATATAGTCTTATTTTTAGTTTAAACCATTTAAATCTAATAGGAATATTAAGAATTTTTTCTAAGTTTTATATCCTATAAAGGCCTACAAAATAATGTATAAAATGAAATATAGCCAAACCATGCAAAATTCCTTTTTACTTTTATTACATAAAAGTAGCTGGAATGCTTACCTAGTAATATTGAATGATTATGTAATAAATCAGTAGGTGGTATGTTGCAACAAAAACTATATATGCAAATTTTTTGTGGTTTTTTTTCTGGTATATTTTAGATACATGTAATGAACTTACACCTGTACGTGATGTATCTTGCTTTATTCCCCATTCCTCTCCCTCCCTCCCTCCCTCCCTCAGTCCTATTCCCCTTCTGAGTCATAAGAGCTAACAAATATTATTATTTCTGAAGAAATAAAGATTTGCAGTCATTAAAACCAATTAAATGTGAGTCAGGAATTGTAAGTATGATTTTCTAAAATCCTTGTCTTATTTTTATCCTTGAAGTTTTAACTCTTCAAATAAGGGATGAATGAAGAATAAAGTTTAGAAAATTTAGTATAGAATTGCTTCTATTCCTATAGCAGAACCTCAGTGAAACTTTTTGCAAAGCCAATATGAGTCAATCACATTTAACTGTTTATGAAATTTTAAGTTTTGTTAGATGCCATTTAAATGATGGCCCAAGAATTCACTCTTCAGTAGCATTTCTTTCTGTTCTGACACCTGAATGATTCTAGTAAGATTTAGCAATATTTAAATAGTCAACTTCTCTGACAGTTTTTTAAAAAGTTAGCTTTTCACTACTTTGACTTTTCAAATGTATGGCATCTTTTCCAATTAAACTGAAAATTGGGGGCTGGTGAGATGGCTCAGTGGTCTAAAGCACCTACTTAGAACAAGCTAAGCCAAGCAAAGCACAGGGACCACAGTTCAATCCCCCAGCACCACATGCCAGCCAGCCCCGCCCCCAGGTGGGCTGAGCTGGCCACACACACACAAAATAGATAAATAAATAAATAAAAGTAAAAAAAAAAAAGATATTTCTAAAAAAAAAAAACAAAACTGAAAATTGGTTTCGGCAGAAGCAGTAACACAGAGCTTGTAAGATGCATTTGACTGATAATAAACACAGCAAATGTTGCCTGTTATGTATACAATCAAAACCCTTTCCTCATGCTCCAAATGTTGTGCATATTTCTGGGCCTTAAGAGTTGATGATTTTATTTATGGTTTTGTAGATTAAGTTATTTACGTATGAAACAAAGTAGGAAAATATATTGAAAAAAGATGATGTCTACAGAGGACTTTGATGTATGACATTTGTTGAAAGTAAACTTATGTTTTTAATGGACACTTATGTAACATTTGAGACAAACAAAATCACAGCATCATATGTGTGTTGGTGACAAAAATAAAGCTGTTCTGACGATTAAAAAAAAAAAAAAAGAAAGCCTCTGAAGCACATACACACAAAAATCCATTAACGATGTTCTCAAAACAAAAACAAAAATCACTATCTGTTCTGTTTCTTTCTGACACCACAAAAGCATTGACTACCAAGATGAAAATCACAGACTGTCCAAATGGCACCTGCACTTGAAGCTAACTGATGGCAAAGTAACAGAACTGAGAGATTTTTCACTAATGGGTACCTGAGGCCCTAAAAAAACCTTTAATTCCAAAGCTAAGCGAGGCTTACCACTCATCTAATAAATAATGACTCCTTCAAGACAGGAAATTTGTCACATCCATCTGTACCTCTAAGCCTGTCCCATGCAGGGCACACAATATGTGTCCCGTAAATGCTTGTGAAATACGTGAGTAAAAAACTTACCTCCTTTCACTTGTTCCCCTATTTGTAACTATCAGACAAAAAAGCTAGTAACTACATAAAAATTCAAGATGTGCTTACAACAAGATTCTAGGCAGATTACCAACCTGCTGTAGCAATCTCCAAGGTGCGCACAGCTTTCTCTGAATGCTTCCAGCAGCTCTGCCTTCTCTCCAGGCTCCAGCTGACTAGCATCCATCAGAGCAGCTCTCACCAACAGATGGGCCTCACTGAGAAGGTGGATGCAGCTCTGGGTCCTTACAGTCTTGTAGGTGTTACTATAGTCTACCTAAGACAACAGACAAACAGTTAAGGTCATGCTAGAGACACACCAGGTAGCCCTCCAGTTCTTACACACATCTAACTTGTGATAATAACATTTATATTTGAGCACATTAGACACAAAGTAAATCAGAAATTAGTACTTATATTTCACTCAATAGGGCTTTAGCTGAGTTTTCTTTGTGCACAATCTGTGAGCAATTTAAAACATTTATCAGTACAAACACTACCTTGTTTTAACAGCTTTAAGGACCAAAGAAAGCTGGAGATGTAGTTCAGTAGTAGAGCGCTTGCTAAGTACAAGCAAGGCCCTGGGTTCAATCCCCAGCACCACAAAAACTAAGAAAGTTTAAAAAAAGAAAAGAAATTAGGGGGCCGGGTGTGGTGGTGCATGATACCTGTAATCCTGCCTGAAGCAGGAGGATTATTATGTGTTTGAGACCAGCCTGGGCTACAAGTGAGTTCATGGTAGCCTGAACTGCACAGCAAGACCCTGTCTCAAAAAGACAAAAATAAATAAAATCAGAGAAGGCTGAAATAATACTGTAATATTAGCCTACAATTAACTTAGTGATTATTTTGTCTGAATTTGATAAAGCTAGTAATAATAGTTAACTGTTTTTAATGTATTTAGTACAGGGTCTACAGAGTCTCACTACACAGATCAGACTCTAGTGGTCCTCCTAATTTCAACTTTCCCAAGCGCTGAGATTCCAGGTGCACACCACCAAACCCAGTCTCAATCAGCAGGCCCCGGGGGCGGGGCCAGCACAGCATGCCGGGGATTGAAACCTGCTCCCTGCACCTGCCCTTTAGTCTGCTGAGCACTCTGGCTAGTTCTTAACTTCTTTTTTAAGTTATGTGTTTTAACTGAAATTTGGACTGAATATCCTTTCCTGAGTTTTAAATTGTGAGTTTAAGGTCTACTACATCTACTGTATAATTCACAAGGGATCATAATGATATCACCAGCTAATTAGAATTGATCAGTATATTCATATGCTAATGGTCAGGTTAGCTGCATGAAGTCTAATGCCTTCAATTAGGCAAGACTAAAAAGATATAACCAAGCTGATATACAGTTAATCAGCATAAGCTGCTGGGGGCGGGGGGTGTTCAGGAAACATTTTCATTTGCTTACCAAAATTAACATCACTAGTGAGGGCCAAATGGACACCATGTCCCCTCCTGAGACTATACACTAAAAAAATTAAGACTCCATAATCTGAATCTAACCATGAAAAAAAAAATCTAACAAATTCAAAATGACGAATACTTGAAAATAAAAAGGTAAAGGAGAAAGATATATTTTTTAAAAAATGAAAGTGTCACAAGGGCCAGGGAGATGGCTCAGTAGAATAAGCGCTTGCCTGGCAAGCAAAAGAGCCTGCCTGAGTTCAATCCCCGGTTCTGCAAAGAAAAGAAAAGAAAAGAAAAAAAAAAAAAAAAAAAGAAAAGAAAAGAAAGTGTCATAAAATAAAAAGAAAAGCAACAGAAATATCTCGTACTCAAAGAAGCAAGAGAGACATGATAACCACATATACTACTTGACTGCAAACTGGAACCCAGAATTGAGTGGAGAATGTTTATAAACCATTACTGAGTTAACTGACAAAACTGGAATAAAAGGTGCAGATTAGGTGAGTGTTGTAGGGTTATACAAGACAATATCCTGATCTGTAGAGGATATACAATGAAGAGTTTAGAGGCAGGAAGTTATGATGTATTAAATTTACCTTCCAATGGATCAGGGGAAAAAACTAAGGATGTGTCGAGAACTCACAAGAGTAAAAACAGAAAGAGAAACAAAGGGTTGAAACATTGACTATGAGCACATTTGTATGGGGCAAATCAGGTTTCTTTGTACTATTCTTATTCTTTCAACTTTTCTCCAAGTTTAAAATCATTTTAAAATTTGGTTATAATGACTAGGAAGCTGTCACCCTTCGAAAAAGAGTAAGGATGTCCACTCCAGGACCCTTCTTATAGGGCACTGCTGGCTCAACTACAGTGTCCTAGGACAGCCTGCTACTATGCAAAGAAAGAAAGAAGGGCGTTAGGGATAAATGATCTTAGATTTACTCTAACTCATCATTTCATGTTTCTCTTTGCTAGGGTTCAAAGTCAAGGGCAAGAAGCTGGGCATGAAGGCATACACCTGTAATGCCAGCACTCGGGAGGCTAAGGCAGGAAGACTGCAAGTTCAAGACCAGGGTGGGCTACAAAGTGAATTCAAGGCCAGCCTGAACTGCATAGTGAGACCGTGTCTCAAAAAGACAAAAAAAAAAAAAAAAAAAAAAAAGCCATGGATAAGAGCTACTAATAGTCATTTAGCCTGGGTCACTGATCTGTTTTGGAAGGTGTGTTTGAATAAAGGACTCTCAATTTTAGTGAAGGGAATTTCTAGTGGATCCTCAAACATTAGAAGCTTTGAAAATGAAAAGGTGAAGAAAGACACACACACCTCTGTCACAGAGATCCTGGAAACTGGTTGGCTGTGGCATCCTGAATATATGATATACATAATCAATTTACGATCATCAATTTTACTCAATTTCTACAAATAATCAGAAGTGTGAAAAAAGTACCATTTCTTTGTATAGTTGCACTGATGAGATCGTATTCACAATATACAAACTCCACCCAGCCTCAGCTACAGGAGGTTTGATCTTAACACTGGTATCTCTTCTAGAACTGAAAGCACAATAAAGGTTAACAACTGTTAAATAAATTAAAAAAAAAAAACCTGTTAAGATAAAATGTGTTATTAATAACTGACAGTACTAGCTTGTAAATATTTAGTGCCATAAAATACTGTAACTATTAAATCACTTTCATTTAGTGATTTCTTCAGTGATGAGCTTATAGCTGGTTTTCATTGAACATTACTGTTTAGTACTACGCAGGCTAAATATATTTAATATATCTATTATGTACTGATTAACCAATTGCTTCCAATTCACTCCACAAATATTCTCAAATCAGGCTATGAAAATACTGCAGGCTATGAAAAGTCCCTGTGCCAAGCATCTCTCCTGCCTGCAGCCTTCATGAGACCAAAAAACAACAAATAGGAACATTAGTAGTCTGGAATTAAGTGTTCACTCTGGGCAATGTGAAAACAGACTATAAATTAATGAGAGACTGACATAATAAAGATGCAATTTGATTTTAACGTACATCAGAACATTATCTATAGATCATGAGTATGCTGCCAGGTGAAAAGCACAGCATTTTAATTTCTTTTGCACTAGGAGAAAACAATCTTTGGATAAAAAATGTAACTCCTACCAGGTCAAAGAAGAAAAACAGTGAAAGTCCTGTAATTTGAATTAGCATAAAATGCTCTGTTATTCCCATTACTTACACATGATTTTAAGATTCTTATTTAAAATAGGACTGATTTTACTGAAACTATTTTAGAATTAATTTTCTCCTGAAAGCACTCTGGTGCTTTCACAAAGGCCACTTTCGAGGTCTCTAGAACCTCTTTTACCTTCTCTGGAGAAAAAAAAAAAAAAAACAACACCAAAGAAAGGATATCTGATCATTCCAAATTTTGATTTTTAAAAAGTTGAATTAAGACACATACACACAAGCTCCCCTAGCTACAATTCATTCCAAAAGCTGGCAGGAATATCTAGGGTGCAGGGTGCTTACAGAAACCTCCTGGGTGACTCTCTTCTCTCTGGAATGGCTTCTGGGTCTGCTTTGGTCAAAAGTACCACATGATTTTTAAAATGACAGATGGCTTTCAAGCCTATAAAAAGTTGTATTCTTAAAACACAGACATCCATGCTGATAGGTGGGCAGGCCTAATAAAGAAAAAAAAAATCATAAATTTAACCAAGGAATACAGGCATGTGGATTTTAATCATCAATAATCAGTCTGTTTGATAAAAGCTCTTCTGCTCCCTCCACCCCTCAGTCAGTCCAAATTTCCTATTTTTAAGAAAGTGACAGATTACTGGGGCTGGGAGATGGCTCATTTGAATAAGCGCTTCCCTGGCCAGCACAAGTGCCTGAGTTCAATCCCTGGTTCCCCCCCCCCACCAAAAAAAAAAAGAGAAGAAGAAAGTAAGTGACAGATTATCGATGTCTATGTAACCCACTATCTCTTTCATGGCACTACTCAGTAACTTCCATACTAGTTGACTGAATGTAGAAAGCGCCCCATGTAGGAATTCCTGCAGTGTCTCCAACAGAATCCTCTAGAAGAGCAGCCCTAAGAGGGTAAAGTGGCACCCAGGGAAACGCCCACTCATAGTGGGCTGGCTTGGTCTACACTCAAATGAAGTTTCTAGGCAAAACCCACACACTGTGGAAAAATACTCCATGGCATGGAAAGTGCATGTAATGGTTTCTTTGTGGATGAGTATATGAGAATCTTGCATGTTCAGAGTCTTTTGGGTGTGAACAGAACCACAGCCAGAACAGCGCACAGGCTGGACCTGTGAGGTAAATTAAGGAGCCAGGCTCCTGGAGGGGACCACTAACTTATGCAGAATGAACAAGAAAGATTTCACAAAATGATGTTGGGCTGGGCATGGTGGCACACACCTGTAATGCCAGCACTTGGCAGGCTGAGGCAGGACTGTTGAAAGTTTGAAAACAGCTTGGACTATAAAGTGAGTTCAAGGGGAACCTGAGCTACAGAGCAAGATCTTGTCCCCAAAAGACAAAAGATATGTAGAAGAAGAAGAGGAGGAGGAGAAGGCAGAGGAAGAGGAGCAGCAGCAGCAGCAGCAGGAAGAGGAGGAGGAGGAAGAGGAGGAGGAGGAGGAGAAGAAGAAGAAGAAGAAGAAGAAATACTGACAGAACTCTGATCTTTCTTCTATTACTGTTTTGATTCTGAGGTCATCATCACCCTTTGTATAAAGTGGGTGGGGAGGCCAGATAGCTTAGCAGACTAAAGTGCCTGCTTAGGAAGAGCACAGGGACCAGGGTTCGATCCCCATCCCCAAGGTGCTCTGAGACAGAGACTAAGACTGGGCAGGGCGATGCACACTGGTAATCTCAGTGCGTGGGAGGCTGCAAACAAAAGGATCACTAGGAGTCCAAACTGTGTAGTAAGACCCTGTAGTAAATACATTAAAAAATAAATAAGTAAATAAATAAAGCGGTTGAGGAAACAACTTATCTATGTTTCCACTTGTAAAACTAGTTAAAGTAGCCAGGTGTGGAGGCTGGCAAACACCTGCAATCCCACCATTCAGGAAGGTGAGACAGGAGGACTGCTGCGAGATCCAGGCCAGTCTGGGAAATGTAGTGAAACCTTGTCTCAAAAAAAAAAGTGAAGCTGAATGTGGGTAATACCGAAGAGCCAGAATCTCAGAGGAAAGTGAAAGAGGATCACACGCACTTTGGACCAGACTATGAGATTGTAAAACCTTTTTCAGACACTATGGGCTCCTACACTGAGTCAGCATGTGGGTGGACTATGTACTTATTCAATGAGGCCAGGATTTCAGAACTGGCAGAATCACAGGGAAGGGAAGTTGGAGAGGAGAGCACTGCTGCCTTTCCCTTTCCTGCCTCCAGCAGTCTCAGAGAAGCAAGATCCCACCAGCCGTTGGCCTCTCCTTCTCCTTCCCTTTCCTTGTCCATTCTCTCTGGATTTATGAGTGCAGGAAGACATGGAATCATGAGCTTCTCAAGGTCGACCAAGCCTACTCCAATCGACAAAGCTATTATGTCCCCCAGTTGCACCAATGCCCTACATAAGCTCACACATTTCTTAGGTTTAAAAAGGCCAGCTGGGAGGAAGAGAATGAAGAGAAAAGAATGGATGGTATTTCATCACTGTCATCTTTCCATTTTTACTAGAAAAAGAATCCTTATTTTAAAAATCATCTCTTATACATATAAGAAATGGGAAATCTGTGATTCTGGTTCCCAAGGGGCTAAAGGCAAGCAATAAGCCTTGTCACCAACAGAAAAGTACACACAGGCCATAGCAAAACAAGAGTCACCAAGAACTCAGACATTACACTCTCCATTAAAAAAAAACATGCTCCCCATAAAGTAGGTGACAGTGACTGCAGTAAGAATACCTCAGACACTTTAGGTTGGTTTGCTAATGTAACCAGTTACGG